CTATTTGTTGTGTTAATAGCAAATATACTATTTATTTAAATTCTGTTGTCTCCTCTATTTCTTTTCCGTCTTTATTTTTTTCCAAGCTGTGTTTTCACAAATTGGCGCGCGCGCGCTCTCGTTTTCTAAAACTTTTGCGAAACGTAGCGCGAACAGCGATTGAAAAAATAAAACGCGCAAAATACGTTTTAGAATGAAAGAGAAATAATAAAACAAGTCTAAGCTAAAAAGCGATAGCAAAAATGTATTTATTAAATATGTACTATAAGCATCAAATGTTAAGCGACAACACGACACGACGCTGCGGCGCTGGAGCGGTTGTTGTGGAGCGCTTGTACCGTAGTAGGGGCGATGGTGGTGGTGATGACTTGATTTGCGCCGCTCTATAGTATAAGCGTAGCTTTTGTGTGTGTGTGGGGGTGTGAGTGTCTGCTGTAGGTGTACTTACATGCATACATATATGTACATATGTATGTATTTGTAAGCGCTAATGTATTTCGATGCGGTATGTGGCGTTTTCACGCGGTACGCGGTATGAGCGCGCGCCAGTTGCGCGGTAAGGAGACGGGCGGCGGCTGATAAAACAAGATTTTTTTTCACACTAAACTTCTGCTTGTGTTAGTGTAGCTAATAGAAGTTATGCTAGTTCTACTCTACTGGCGTTATTCACAATTTTTGTATTTTTGTTTTGTATTTTTGCGAGTCACCGTAACGTGTTCACTTAGACACATTTGCTGTTGTTGTTGTTGTTGGTGGTTTACAAATATCTACATCTGACTTTATACGGGATTTTTTGGCAACTATTTCACTTTTATTGAAGAACAACTGTCATATTTTGTGGCATTTTGTTGTTAAAGTTAAATTTGCATACTCATTTATTTTCCATGTAATTTTCGATTACTTTAATATGTACATATGTATTTTTGCTACACCCGTTTCGTGCAGCAATCACAATCACTTCGGCTGAACTCACATGCGCATTGTTTGGTGGTGATGATATCTGCGCTTTGGTGTCCAAACCTGATATTTATATTTAAACAAAATTAATTAATTTAAGATTTTACTTTAAATTTACTTTGGCATTGGTTGATTTTTGAAGAAGGCCCACACACTTGGTTTGTATTGAAACTAATATGTATGTATGTTTGCAGTCTTGTTTGTATATTAAGTTAATTTCAAATATTTTGCTAAACATACATACTAGGGTGGTCCTTAAAAATTTATCTTGTTCTACGCACAAAATAAAGACATAGACGAAAAATATTTGT